TTCTTTAATATGTGTGGTAAAACATACCTTACAATATTTTTATACATTCCTGACAATAGAGATAACTTATCTTTACTATTTCGAACTTTAAACATTCATAAAACTCTTAATTTATGCTTGTAAAAAATAAAAATAGTGGCGCGGTCTTCCTACGGTTTAGCTCCGGAGTAGCTAAGCTTTTTCCGCTTAACATACAAGTACCAACGCTGCACTCCAACAGCTGCCCCATAGAGTCCTAGTAGAGCTTGGTCGACTCTACAATGGGATATTGCGGACATCCCACTTCCCGGAGGACTGGAAGAAAGGCAAAGTCTTGCCGAAACCCATGAAGGACAGGCGTAGAGCTGCCAGCTACAGGCCGATCACGCTGCTACCACACATAGCTAAACTGCTTGAAAGATTGTTGCTAAGACGCCTCCGTCCGTGCATCCAACTTCGGGCGGAGCAGCACGGATTCAGGAGGGGACACTCTACAGCAACACAGCTGACCAGAGTGCTGCGCCTGCTTGCGGCCGAATACAACCGTGGCCGCACTACGTTGGGCGTCTTTCTCGATATCGAGAAGGCGTTCGACAGGGTGTGGCATTCTGAACTACTTTATAAACTAGAAGAACAGACCAGTGACCCTCCTGCTATGTTGCGGCTAGTGGCGTCTTTCCTGGGAGACAGGAAGTTCTACGTCTGCGTAGAGGACGCCGAGTCCGCAACCAGAACCATCAGAGCCGGCGTTTCTAAGAGCAGCTGTTTGTCTCCAGTCCTGTACGCGGCTTATACCAACGATATTCCTATTCTGGCAGGAAGGCTGCAAGAGTGGAAGGATGACGTGGAATTGGCGTTATACGCGGACGACATCGCTTATTTCACCTCGTCCAGAAGAGCCTACATTGCCACTGTCAGGATGCAACGTCTTCTGGACCTGCTGCCACCATGGCTAGATGAGTGGAGGATGGTCGTCAACGTTGGTAAGACGACCGCTCTGCTCACTCGCCGCCTCAGGAACCTACTACCTCAGTTAATCCTCAACGGCCAGAAGATCGCGTACGAGAAGGCCGTGACCTACCTTGGGTGCCGGATCGACCGGGCGCTGCGCATGACTGCGCACGTCGACCTCGTCGTCCGTAGAGCACGATGTGCGCGGGCGATGCTCCGTCCGGTACTGGCATCCAAGTTACCACTTAAAACCAAAGTGCGAGTCTATAAAACGTACATTAGATCCATCATTACGTATGCTGCTCCGGCCTGGTACGCGCTTCCGAGCGAGCCTCTGAGGCGGCGACTGTAGGCCCAGCAAAATCTGACGTTAAGAACCATCGTCGGTGCGGGTCGCTACGTCCGGAATGACTTCATAGCGGCCAACCTGAAGATTGACACCATCCAGGAGTTTGTGGTCCGGTTAGCGTGCAGACTGTTCGACCGTGCAGACAACGGGCCACACCTACATCTTAGCCAACTTGCGCCGCTACACACTCGCCCTCCGGACGGGCGACCCTATCCAAGAGAACTCCTCTCTATATCGATTAGAGAGTCGAGTAACAACCCTCAATGCCGCTGAAAGGCCAACTTCGACTTTATACTAGACAACCTCTTTTTTCCCGTAGTCGGTTAACTACGGGAAAAACTCTACCAATTACGGACAAATCCGTATAAACTAACAACGCCATTAGAAGGCTCCCAGAACCGGTCCATAGTGGTGGACCGCGAGGATAGCACGGGTAATGGGGGCATACCCCGAGGCCCGAACCCTACATGTCACATTGGGGCATGAAGACGACAATCAACGCATACAAGTAGCGCCGCCAGGCGGCAGGAATGCACAATGCTTATCATGATAATATTATGCTTAAGATTCTATACAGAATATATTTTAACTTCTTATTAAATTAAGATCTATTTTTATAATGAGAAATTAGATTACAAAAGTGATTAATTGACATATTATCGTATTAAATTACTATTAAAGAAAAAGAATTAAACAAATCATTAAATTTACACTTAAATATTAATATCTCTAATACAGCTCTTTAAAATTATAATAAGAGAAAGTTCTAATAAGTAACTAAACTCATATTTCGTTTCCAGCATTCTAATTAAACCTAAATAAGCAATTAGATTCATATTTTCGTTACAGACTTTGTTACTAACTTTCGTTACGTAGTTTTGAAATAAGAATTGAAGCTAATATAAGTAATTAATTCACTTGATTGGTATTAACGCTATCAGTCTTTACACTTAGCTTAAAATCACAAATGAGAAACAATTGAGATTAAATGTTTAAATTCACTTGTCGTCGCTAACAAATATATTAACTCTGGCCTCTCAATAAATTTATGAAAATGTAATGTACGTACACAAAAATAAAAATAGTTTTGCAAAAATAAGTGATATTAATTCTGTAAATACTAGGAGCAGACACAAGCTAGTAGTACCAGTTACTCGACTCCACCGAGTCAGTAATTCATTCTTGGGACGGTGTGTACGCTTTTAGAACAAAATCCCAGAAAATATACAAAATTTGACATACACAAAGTTTAAAAATGTTATTAAACTAAGTTTGTATAAAAAGGGTTATTAAGTAATTTATGGATGATAATAACCCCTGGGAAGGGTGATCGCTACCAAGCGTTTTCTAATTTGGCTTGTGTTGTTACTCGTAACGTATATTATTGTAAGTTATTATTTGAAAAAAATAGTCCCGCGGAGTTTCTTGCTGGTTCTTCATAGGATGGAGGATTTTTTTTACGAACCAGTGGTAAACGACAAAAGTGACTTTCAATTATTATTGTTTAAAATCTATATTAAATAAAAAAAATCAGTTTCAGTTTCATGCTGTGGCCGATAAATATCTACAGTAACTTATATATTATACATCTATTATCTATTTAGTATCAATGTGCTAGTTTTTGAAGTATGTTAAGAAAAATAAAAAAATAGTCAATTTTTTTTTACTTAAATTAGCATTGTAAATGTTTTAAGATATTTTGGAGGGAAAACTTTTCATGATGTTTATTTTTATTAGATAGATGCTATTTTTACCTTTCAAATAACATTTTTTTTACATCTGTAGGACCTTTCTGTCCAGAGAAATCTGCAACTTTTGGCAGAGACAGCTACAATAATTAAAAAAATGGCGGCCATTCCGACAGGAGAGGGGTAGACCCCCCATATATGGGTGTTTTCGTCGATGAAATTAGGTATATTTTGTAACCTTAAATTATCGCTAGGTCGTGACCAGACACACTGTATAATGCCAAACTTCTTTACATAAAAAGTAGTCTCTATATATAAGTTTTTATGGGTTAAAGTGCTGTGGGTGGGTGTGACCTCATGAGACCGCTAGGGATTTGACGGAATATGGCCGCGGTCTCATAAGGCCGCTAGGGGCTTAAGAGGTTAAGCAAGTCTGAGAGTGAGATTCCATCCACCAAGGTCGACACTTCCAACGGACGATCGGGCGAGATTGCTCTGATTCGAAGGGGCAGCCTGTGGCCGCACCACATCGGCTTATAATAAGTAAAATGTGTGGTAAAAATAACGACATTAAAAATTTATAGAGTGGACCTTTATAACTTTTTTATATAATAAGAAAGCAAACGAGCACACAGTCCACCTGATGTTAAGTAGTTGCTATGGCCCTTAGACACGTACATTACTGGTACCTTGACCACGAATCAAAATGCAGATGCGTTGTCACGCTTGAGAACTAAAATGGAATGCCTTGTGTCGAGTAAAGAGGTCCCCGGTTCTCCACACTCACCATACGAAACACAGAAGCATTAAGCTGCTATTTTACGCTGGTATTCAGAGAGAGCATGGTTTTTCCTCGTTCGAGCTGACCTCTTCGTGCAAAACTATACTACTAATATAGCTGCTGCATGGCTCTACCACGGTGGAATTGACTGGTTTATATCCTGCCTGCCTCCCTAGACATCCCTATCGTTCACAAAGCGGACATTCCTTCCTTTGGTCCGGTGTAAGCTGAGTGGAACTAATGGGTTTTGGTATCTGGGTGGAGGCAACGCTTCTTCTACGCTTAGAGATCGCATCCCACCTACGAGTCTGTTATCTTCTACTAATGGGCTTAGCGTGGACATTCTCATTTGATTCAGTGCTATAATAATAATATATCTAATATGTCTCTATAGACATCTACATCAATCCTCGATAAAGTTTTGTCACCGCTGAGGACTAAGATGGAATGCCTCGTTTCCATTGAAAAAGCTCTCCGAATCTTTACATTCACCATACCAAACAGCAACATTAAGCTGTTATTTTACGCTGGTATTCTGTGAGAGCGTGGTCCTTCCCCGGTCGAGCCGACTCATTCGTGTTACAACCATCAAATAGCTGCAGCATGACTCTACCACGTTCATAAAAATTATTTTATATAAGAGGGACAAACGAGCATGCGGTTTACCTGATCGTAAACACCGCAGTCCATAAACAACTGTAAACACCAGGGGAATAGCAGATGCCTTGTCGGCCTTTTAAAAAGAGTAAACTCTTTCCTTGAAGGCCCCTAAGCCGTATCGGTCCAGAAAAATCGCTGGTGGTAGTCGATTTCACAAGGAAGAACAAAAGACCGCCAATATTCAACATCGTATGTATGGCGTCGTGAGTTTAGTCGAGATGGCTATTTTGAATAGAATAAGGGTGACGGTGACGATAAAGGTGAACACACACTCCAACTGATGGTAAGGTGATGCTGTAGTCCATAGACATCTACATTAATCCTCGACTAAGAATCAAAACGCAGATGTGTTGTCACTCCTGAGAACTAAGATGGAATGCCTCGTTGCTAGTAAAAAGGATCTTAAGATCTCTACACTCACTTATAAGGTTTTAAAATAAAAGACAGTATTAAATAATATACTTTAACTTTTTATTTAATTAAAAATCTTAAATTACAATACATACTTACAAATCATATAAAAGGTGGGTTAAGTCTTCTCACACAGCACACCTGACGAAATACAATTTTTTTTTACATATGATCCTTTCCATTATGACTTTGTCTTCGATATGGGCTTCTTCACTAATCCTGGAAAATTAAGCAATTTGATTACAATTTTACTGAAATTGACTACCGGCAAGCAATAGACATATTCCCTTGTAGCTGCGGTGTTAAAATATTCACTACACCATAATATCGTCCTGAACAATAAATAAATAAATAAATAAACAAGCCACAGATCAGGATAGTCACAAGTGCTATCACAGGACATGGCTCTCTTAACAAACATTTGTTTACCATAGGTGTTACTGATAGCCCCCTGTGCAGGCTGCACGGCGGCTCACGTGTTGCTGACATATCCAGAAGTCGCTTCATACAGGGCGAAACATCTGAGCGCGCCGGGATCGCTCCCCCGAAGTTGCTTGCAACATCGAGGGACTGCTGAGCTTCTTCGGGGAGATATCATGGCTCGAATAATCACATTATTCCTGCCCACACGCAAAATACGCGTTTAGACGTGGAGTTGAGGAAAACAGCCCGTCGTAAACTAAAACTAAACTAAAATATCGTCCTATGGGTGTAGTAAGAAGCGACAGAGATAAAAACCAGGAGAAGGGCAGCATTTAAGCTTACCGCGAGTGGTTAAGGGGAGTATTAGTAATGTTTATAGCATTGTTAATTATCTTTAAAAAAAAGCAAAAAAAAAAAGGGCAGCAACGTTTTCATAATAACAACTAAAAATAAAAAGTACTGTAGTGAGAAAGCAGATATACAATTATATCTGCTTTCTCACTACAGTACTTTTTACAACGGTAATACACATCTTTTTTTATATATAGAAGAGGGAGCAAACGAGCATGCGGTTCACCTGATGATAAGTGGATGCTGTGACCGACAGAAATCTACTTCTATACTTGATTAGCAATGAAAATGCAGACGTGTTGTCACACCTGAGGACTGAGAATGCTTCGTTTTCAGTAAAATGTGTCTCCGGTTCTCTACACTCATCAAACGAGATACGTTAAAGCATGGCGAATATGATGTAATCATACAACTTTTGGTCGGAAGACGCTGATAACCACATAAAACTTGCCATATCCCACAATAACGGGAAGAAAACTTATAACACCCTCAGGACTCCATGGGGTAATGCTATATTACAGTGTGTTATAAAAAAAATAAGAACTAACTTGGTATATTCGTGTTAACTATTCTTGTACTGCTCCGACTGCTCCAGATGCTGCTGTTTAGAGATGACATTGTGTTGAATTTTGTTAGGTTTTTTCCTGGAACATAATATTTTTGTTTGTTTAATTTAAATAACACGTAAGTCGGCATTAACTTAGAACCCAGGTACACTCGCTTGCATATTATAAAATCGAGTCGAGCTACATCATGTCAAAATGTATATGTGGCCGTGGAAGTAAAAGGGGAGATCTCCCGCCAGGCAAGGTGTTCTGCCCGGGGAGCGGCCAACGCTTCGTGTGATAGTTCGGAGCTATTCTATGTATACTGTTTTTGATTCGGAACTTTGATAGCGCGATTTAGGCTTCGATGTGTTTCTCGGTTGTGGCGCGACGACAGCGCCGCCACATATACATCTATACATATAAATAAAATGAAAGTGTCTGTCAACACCTGTCTATTCATGGAGGTTAGAGAACAGGAGAACGATCGCTACGTGCTAAAGCAAAGCCCCCCTGTCCCTGAAATTTTGTATTATTTATATCCGTGCTGCCGTCTGTAAGTAGTGTCTGCGAAGTAATTTTTTTTAATTTCTGACAAAAAAATAATAATAAATCAATAATAATTAATAATTTATGTGTAATAATTTATATTTAACAACTTAGCGATCGCAGCGCCTCTTATTTTGTCCATATTTCTGGGACACTATTTTATACAGCGATCGTCCTTCTGTTTTCTAACCTCCATGTGCCTATTATTGAGCTCAGAGTTATTGAGTTGAGCCAGCAGCAGCAGGGAAACGAGTAAAAGCCAGAACTGCGGGGCGGGTGCTGGCTGATCTTAAAAGAGCCCCAAGAATCTCGATCTCACAAACCCATGATGGGAACAGCCTAATCATAAAGGGCGAGATCAACGGAATGCCGTGTAAGCTGACCATAGACACTGGAACCTCTCGTACGGTTGTTAGTTCCCAACTTATAAGTCAGTTCCTTGGGGACTCCGCATACAACCGAGAACGCATTAATTTGGTAACAGCCACCGGTCAGCGTATACCCGTCCGTGGAGAGAAGGAGATGGAGTTGAAGCTAGGCAACGTGATCTACCTGCATAATGTCATCGTGGCTGATATAATGGACGACTGCATCCTAGGCTTAGACTTTATGAGGAATAATTGTTGCGAGATCGACGTTAGGCAAGGTGTTTTCAAATGTGGACAGGAGGAACTTTTTATGGAAGGTGAATTACCAGGGAACATGAACAGCATCAAGAAGATTGTTCTTCCGCCGAGATCGGAAACGATTGGTGTCAGAAGTGGGATAAAATCATGCCGATTTTACCTGAGGAGGAAACGGAGGGTGTCCGTACCCTAAGTCAACGCCAGCAGGAGACGGACACCCTCCGTTCCCACTTCTGACACCAACTGCGGGGCGGGTGCTGGCTGATGTTAAAAGAGCCCCAAGGATCTCGATCTCACAAACCCATGATGGGAACAGCCTAATCATAAAGGGCGAGATCAACGGAATGCCGTGTAAGCTGACCATAGACACTGGAGCCTCTCGTACGGTTGTTAGTTCCCAACTTATAAGTCAGTTCCTTGGGGACTCCGCATACAACCGAGAACGCATTAATTTGGTAACAGCCACCGGTCAGCGTATACCCGTCCGTGGAGAGAAGGAGATGGAGTTGAAGCTAGGCAACGTGTTCTACCTGCATAATGTCATCGTGGCTGATATAATGGACGACTGCATCCTAGGCTTAGACTTTATGAGGAATAATTGTTGCGAGATCGACGTTAAGCAAGGTGTTTTGAAATGTGGACATGAGGAACTTTTTATGGAAGGTGAATTACCAGGGAACGTGTACAGCATCAAGAAGATTATTCTTCCGCCGAGATCGGAAACGATTGGTGTCAGAAGTGGGATAAAATCATGCCGATTTTACCTGAGGAGGAAACGGAGGGTGTCCGTACCCGAAGTCAACGCCAGCAGGAGACGGACACCCTCCGTTCCCACTTCTGACACCAACTGCGGGGCGGGTGCTGGCTGATGTTAAAAGAGCCCCAAGGATCTCGATCTCACAAACCCATGATGGGAACAGCCTAATCAGAAAGGGCAAGATCAACGGAATGCCGTGTAAGCTGACCATAGACAATGGAGCCTCTCGTACGGTTGTTAGTTCCCAACTTATAAGTCAGTTCCTTGGGGACTCCGCATACAACCGAGAACGCATTAATTTGGTAACAGCCACCGGTCAGCGTATACCCGTCCGTGGAGAGAAGGAGATGGAGTTGAAGCTAGGCAACGTGATCTACATGCATAATGTCATCGTGGCTGATATAATGGATGGTATGATATAATGGAGATCGGAAACGATTGTTCCGGTTAGTCTTCCTCGAAACGCTGGGCAAGCTCACCGTTGTTTACTTGTGGAAAGGGTAAACAATGACCTTCCATGGAAAGTAGCTCGAACCTTGGTCAGGACCACTGACATCTCAGGAGTACGTGTGCTGAACCTTTGCGACCGGGAACAGATTATAGAAAAAGGCACACTGGTTGGTACTTGTGAGGAAGTGGATTGGTTACGTCAGTGCCAATATATATCGATTCAGATGGATTCGCAAGGATTCAGAAACGAGAGTGACCACACTTTTTGTCGCAGTGTTCTGTCCCCGAACGAATTGGTCAAGGCGAAGAAGTTGTTACTCGAGTACGCCGATGTATTCTCATCAAACGATGCTGACATAGGAAAGACTGGTTTAGTTCAACACAAAATAAACACAGGTGAAGAGTTGCCTATCCGTCAGCGGCCAAGACGATTGCCGGTAGCACGTGAAAAGGAAGTGGAAACCATGATTGAGGGAATGGTGAAGGATGGTGTTATTGAACCTTCATCTAGTCCATGGTGTTCACCCGTGGTACTGGTAAAGAATAAGGATGGCAGCTTGCGGTTTTGTGTAGACTACCGACGTCTGAACGACGTTACTAAGAAGGATAGCTATCCCTTGCCGAGAATTGACGACACGCTGGACATGCTTACAGGAGTAAAGTGGTTTAGCACGCTGGACCTAAAAAGTACTACTGGCAAGTTGAAATTGACCCTAAGGACAAGGAGAAAACTGCGTTCTCGACGGGAAAGGGTCTGTGGCAATTTAAAGTAATGCCGTTTGGGTTGTGCAATGCTCCAGCAACGTTTGAAAGGCTGATGGAACTTGTACTTACCGGGCTAATTGGCGATGCCTGTCTGGTCTACTTGGATGACATCATCATCGTGGGCCGTACGTTTGAGGAACACCTTCAAAACCTGGAACGCGTGCTCATGAAGATTAAGAGTGCCAACCTCAAGTTGAGCCCGAAGAAATGTTCACTATTCAAACGGCAAGTCAACTTTTTGGGGTATGTAGTATCGGAAGAAGGTATCCGCACGGATCCAGAGAAAATCGTAGCTGTAAAGGATTGGCCGGTTCCAAAAGACAAGACGCAGGTTAGAGCATTTTTGGGTTTGTGCTCCTATTCCCGACGTTTTGTGAAGAACTTTGCAGATATAGCCAAACCTCTGCATAAGCTAACCGAGGAGAAGTGACATTTCTGCTGGTATGAAAGTTGTAACATCGCATTCCAGGAGCTCAAGGACCGTCTGTGCAAAACACCTATTTTGGGATACCCTGATGCAAGCAAAGAATTTATGGTTGACACAGACGCAAGTGATATAGGACTTGGCGGTGTGTTGTCTCAACGTAATGGTGACCAAGAGGTCGTGATAGCGTACTTCAGCAAGTCGTTGTCAAAACCGGAAAGGAACTACTGTGTCACAAGACGCGAATTGCTAGCTGTGGTAAAGTCGTTGCAACATTTTAGCAAATATCTTCTGGGACGAAAATTTCACTTACGAACTGACCATGCTGCACTAAAATGGCTATTGCAGTTTAAAAACCCAGAAGGACAAGTTGCGAGGTGGATTGAACTACTGCAGGAGTACGACTTTGAGATCGAACATCGCAGCGGGAAATCTCATGGCAACGCAGATGCATTGTCAAGAAGACCTTGTCCTAAAGATTGCAAGCATTGTACTAGGCAAGAGAGTAAGGAAGTGGTATCCGTGAGGATGCTCAGGGCAGATCACCTCAGCAACGAGTGGAAGGACAGCTTACTACATGCACAGCAGGAAGATCCGGACATCAAGCCGATTCTGGAATGGATAAAGGCTAGTGCTCCCAAGCCCAAGTGGAGTGACGTCTCAGCGATGAGTTCGACCACTAAAAGCTATTGGGCCCAGTGGGACAGCTTGCTGCTTCAGGGTGGAGTTCTGTGTCGTAAATGGGAAAACGTTCGGGAGACAGCTGTCATTTGCAAATGGTTGTCCCTAAAGCTAAAGTACCGGATGTTCTACAGCTGTACCATAATGATTGTTCAGGAGGCCATCTGGGAGTTAAACGAACTCTACTTAAGATCAGAGAACGGTTTTACTGGGTCCACTGTCGAAACGAAGTCGAGGACTGGTGTCGCAAATGTACAAGTTGTGCGGCTGTAAAGGGACCTCAGACTCGTAGTAGAGGTGCATTGAAGTTGTACAATGTTGGTGCACCATGGGAGAGAATAGCCATTGACGTGGCGGGACCGTTTCCGGAGAGTGAAAGCGGTAACCAGTATTTCATGGTTGTGATGGATTACTTCACTAAGTGGCCAGAAGTCTTCGCCATCCCAAATCAAGAAGCTTCAACAGTTGCTGATAAGCTAGTACATGAAGTCTTCTGTCGTTTTGGTGTACCTTTAGAGATTCACAGCGATCAAGGAAGGAATTTCGAGTCTCAAATATTCCAGGAAACTTGCCGAGTTATGGGTACTCATAAAACACGAACGACTTCTTATCACCCGCAATCTGATGGAATGGTAGAACAATTTAATCAGACATTGGAGAGGTGCCTAGCAAAAGTTGTAGACAATCGGCAACGAGATTGGGACAAGCACATACAACCGTTTTTGTTGTCATATCGAAGTTCTGTTCACGAAAGTACAGCAGTGACACCAGCTTTCGCAAACTTTGGAAGAGAATTACGGCTGCCTGCAGACCTGATCACCGGGATATCACCTGATACCCCACGCAGTATAACCGATTATGCAAATGACTTGCGGAACAAAATGAACGACATTTATGAGCACGTCAGACAATCGGGCCAGCAAATGTCTGGGAAAATGAAAACCCGGTACGACCGCAAAATGAACAATAAAGGGTTCAATGAAGGTTCATTAGTGTGGTTGCACAATCCGGTCCGCAGCAAAGGGAAATCTCCTAAGCTTCAAACTAAATGGGACGGCCCGTACCGGATTGTAACCAGGATCAACGATGTGACCTACCGGATACAGAAAGGCGCAAGAGGGACTCCTAAGATCGTCCATGTGGATCGCTTGGCGCGTTATTATGGGACCGATAATGCTCGGGACGAGCATGTCTTAGGAGGGGGCAGGGTGGCGTTAATAAATCAACTAGCGCCATCTAGTGTCAGGAACGAGAGCGAGGGGAGCTTTGCAGAAAATGACATCACAAATCTCTCAACCGACAGCGCCATCCGAAGAACTAAGTTTCTAGAAAATCTACACTCGCACACTCGTCCTTTTGCGCGCATTTACTTGAATATTCCGGATGCTTCTTTGCTAATTTATATAAATAGGCGCTGCAAGATGCGATCGGGGCAGTGTTGATTTGGCGAGAAAAGCGAAGTTTCGGAGCGGAATAAAGTGAATTAATGTGTTTAATTATTAGTGTTTTTAACTTTAATTTGTGTAAAGTAAATTAAAGTGTTAATTTAGGTAATTTTATCGGCAATTTTTATTGTCACGAACCTCAAGCTCGTAACAATATGCTTGTTACTACAGAACTCTTCATGGGTCTGCGAGTCCGACTTGCACTGAACCAGTTTTTTTCAACTTTTAGTTTTATTTTAATAAATAGTTTTTTCGTTTAAGCGGAGCTCTTTTACTTTAGATTTATTACCTCTTTATCTATAATAATCAATCTGAATAAGTAAAGTGTGCAAATACGATTATTAAATTGTAAAAATAATAATTGGATTTGAACATCTTAGGTAGGTATTTAGTTTTATTTATTTAGAAAATATTAATCTCACAATTAATTATTACAATAATATAATTTTATCACACAACTAATGCCCTCATTAGCAATGTAATGGTGAAAGAATTTTCAAAATCGGTCTAGTAATTTTTGAGATTAGCCAAAAAACGTATTCATTGAAAGTAGCGCCCTCTATAATAAAATTCATCCTATATTAGATATCTAAAATTATACATAACAATCTAGTGGTGAAAGAATTCTTAAAGTTGGTTAAGTATTTTACTTTGATAGTAGCGCTCTCTATAATAAAATGCATCCTACGTTTTTAAGCACCATAACAAAAAACGATTCAACATAGCCTAACCCGCACACACAGTAAAAACATAACCATCCATTTTCGTCTTTAGTCGGATAAACAACTGGTTGATAACGGTTGCGTATCGGCTGCTTTGGATAAATATCCATTGTCAACGGTCCTTTTAAATATATATCGTAACATCATAATAATTATCGAAAAATTATATTAGCATTGTAATAATGACACCATAAGTAATCGATCAAAAAGGGGAATCGATTTTTTAATGAGATTTGTGATTGGCAACACTTTTTATTTTATTCACAAACTAGTGAATTAATGATTTACCTAATTTTATTCTTATCTTTTCGGTACTTTTAATTTGTGCAAAAATATTCCCATCTTTTTAGGATAAATGAATACCGCGATTAATAACCATAAATAAAGATATATTAGTTTAACAAATGCACATTGTTGGGCGTTCCATGGCCGAAAATGGGCAATGCCCTTTACCTTCTTATTCTAACGATATTGTAGCAGTTTTTCATTGCCTAAATACACGGATAAAAAGACATTTTCTAAAAATAAATCCTAGCTAAATCGATTTACCCCGAAACTCCCTGGACACAAAATTTATATATATATATATATATATATATATATATATATATATATATATATATATATAAGAATTGCTCGTTTAATAGTATAGGATACTATAGAGCGGACATTGCGAACATTTGCATACAAAAACTGAGAACACGCGCGTATTTTAAGCCCTTTAGCGAAAAATAGCAATACTACGCTGAATATTTATTTAGAAAACATTTTATCTATTTCCAATTAGGTGATGCTTCTAAATATAAGATGAAAATCGGTTTTAGGCACGTCGTCAATTACTAACATATTTGTAAATAAATAGTGACGATACTGGATAACAGAGAGACACTTATTACAATAATTTTTCTTTCTTCTAGAACAATCTGCCAGAAATAATAAAATTTAAAGATTATTTTGTAAATATATACATTATTCTTAGGATAATAAACCAAAATCATGTTCATTTTTTGCTCCATATCGTGACTTACTCTACCTTAATACACAACCGGGCATATTTTCTTTAAAAATATTTTTTAAATTTTTGAAACGATTGCGTCTTGACCTTTCGGTTTTGTCACTTATAAATGACAAATATCGGAGATATATCCTATAGGACAAAAGTTAGAGACGACAATTTTGCTGCTGATGTCCGGTCTATTACTACTACAATTCAATACAATTAAATGTCTTTTGTCCTTGGTTTAAATCTTGCACGGAAAAAGTATTTGTATGGCCTACAAAATTATATTTCTGGGTCTGGATGTTTGTTTGCGATATAGTAGAAAATGCTAGTGGAGGTAACCAAATAGTAGTCCATTTCAAGAATGTGGTGCTTAGAATGATGAAGATACTTACTGGGACTGATCCTCAAAGGATTCTTCTTCAGTATATTCTCGGCGCTCGACGACTTCTTGGTGGTTTGCGGTATTTTCGACGTCTGCAAATTAGGATTACGTTTATCAAATTTGGGAGCTTTGATGAACCTGCTATTCATTGATTTTGTAATAGAAGCGTTTGGTTTATTTTGATGGGTTTTTAAACCTTTTGCATTTACTGTGTTGCCAGATAATGTATGATGTTTTGTGGTAGCTTCCTTGCCACCATTGATTGGTTGGTTTTCAATGTTCTTAGGTTTCTCCACAACGGTTTCTTTTAAGGATTTCGTTTTATTAAACATCTGAACTTTATCATTTGCGATATTTTTAACAGGTTTGGATACAATTTTGTCCTTGGCCACATTTTTTTCTTTTTTATTATCATCGTTACCTTGAAGCGTATTTTTATTTTTAGGTTTATCGGTCTTATGTTTTACTTCGGTTTGTTCTAAAACTTGTTTACCTTTGGTACTTGTATGTACATTTTCTTTGACGGTTTTCATATTTAACTTATCCGCTAAGTTTGTTGATTGCACGGTGTTGCCAGATCTTTCTCTGTTAGTATCGTCTTTTTTAGGAGTAATACGTTCAACAGAAATTAATTTCTTACCTTTTTTCCGGTTTTTTATTTCCTTCGTTAAAGTTCTTAGGTTTGCCCTCTTTTTCCTTACTTTGATTTTGAGTGTTAGCAGGTTTTTTTGATTCTATTTCTTTCTGACTACGTTTAGCGATATTATTATTTTCCCTCTCCATTTTATTAGGATTTTTGACATTTTCGTTATCAGTTTCTTTTAACTCTCTGTCTTTAGTTAAATTATCAGACTTTTTGTTTTTACGCATATCATTATTGACCTTTGTATGTTCTGTTTCATTTGGAGTTCTCTTGTGACTAACTATATTCTTAGGTTCTAATACTTTCTCAGGAATATTATTCTTTGCTTTCTTTCCTTCAATATTATCACCAATTTCACTGTTCACTCTTTTCCCTGTTTTGCTGGTTTTGTGATTTTCCGCTACATTTTCTTTGCCTTTAGGCTTCTTGGGGAGTGCTTTTGGTGGCGCCATCACTTCACAATCCTCTTTCTTTTTCTTTGGTACCGGCATTTCCGGTTCTTTGTCTAAGCTCTTGCGTCTTTTCTCTATTCTTACTGTCTCCGACTCGGATTCTGTGCTTTCTTGTACACTGTGATTCAGCCCTTGGGCTTCTAAGCATGTGCTGATGATTTTAGCCAACAATAACGTCCTCTCATCCGTGTCAAGCTTTGGATTGGACAGTTGTTTGTGTGCTTGAGCTACTGTCTTTATATACGATTCATCTAAAAAAGAAATAAAAACACATTAACAAATTAAAATGCTTGTTTGTTTATTGCACTTTTTTGTAGAACTGAAGTATATATATATATGACCTTTTTTACAGTCTGAAAAAAAAAATGGTGTAACATGTGAACGGAGTAGAACTCTTAAGACACTGATATTTTACAAAAATAAAAACAAATATTTTTTATTAAAAGTCTACCGTTTTAATTTCAATTAAAACGGTAGACCCAAGCTCTCACAAAATATCAGCTTAAAATAACAGCTTAATGCCGCTATGTTTCGTATGATGACTGTGGACAAGCGAAGACCACTTTTTACTGGAAAGGAGGCATCCGTATTGGTCCTCAAGGGTTATAATGCGTTGTGATTTTTAATCGAGGATAGATGTAGATGTCAATCAGCCATAGCATCCACTCCCATCAGGTGTCTGTCAGTCAGTCATGTGTGTCAGGTGTGTGCTGGTTTATTATCCATATTCTAAAAAAAAAAAACCTATATCCATATGAAAATATCGGTGTTACTAATACACTATTCAGATCATTATTCAGCTATTCAGATATCTTATGCCAATAAGATCTATTGTAGTCGCTGCTATGGTTATAGTTCACTGCTAAGCCCTAAATTTTCAATGAATTGAAGGAGTTGTTTAGCTGTACGCAATATCAGTTCTTCTGAGCTAAGTATGTAATTTTCCAGACGAGTATTACGTTTGCACATTAAGGGCCCACAATCAGGGTATGCAAAGATGTTTTTTCCTACCTATACAGATACCGATGCGTTTATTAAATTGAAAAGAAGATAAAATAAGACATAAATTAGATAGGGTTATTATAATACTAAATCTGATTAAAATATGGTTGTAACGGATAGAAAATTATGGTTATTAGAATTGCAACGAATATTCGGCTGTTATTTTCACTATTATTTCGTGAACGCACTACGCGCCAAACGTCCCGATACCATCCACACCATCTGGATGCTTGGCGGTCCACCACTGTACGTTTCACAAGGAATTTCCTTCCGCGTACGACCTCTCTGTGGGATAGTTTACCACCGACGATTTTTCCGGACCGATACGACCTGGGGACCTTCAAGAAAAGAGCTTACTCCTTTCTAAAGGGCCGGCAACGCACCTGCTATTCCCCCTGGTGTTGCGGTTGATCATGGGCGGCGGTAGTCACTTAACATCAGATGAACCGCATGCTCGTTTGCCCCCTCTCCTATAAAAAAAGAAAGGATGGCTAAGATGGAAGATCTCCCAACTAAAGGAAAGCTTTTATATCTATGTGTAATTTTATGAAGATATAAAAAAACTACATACTTATGTACTCCAAGTCGAATTTCATGCGGTGATGAAATGAGGCGATGGGTGACCAGTTGTTCTCTAAGATCCAAGTAATTTCGAGAATATTCGAACATTTTAACTGGTAACCGCCTTCTGGCTGGAAACATACATACATAATCATATTTCTTAAGCTTTTATATGCTGTAGAAAATCACTTTTTGGTGACACTGCTGTTTTTTCTTTGTTTTGTTTTTTAAAAGCGATAGTCCCAAAAAGACATTAACACTACATTTACCGTGTAATGGCTTTGTAAATATATAAGTAAAGTAAAGTAAAGTTACAGCCTATATACGACCCACAGCTTGGCACAGGCCTCCCGCTCATTTCTGAGAGGGTTTTAGGGCAAGGAAGTGTTCGCCGCGCGATTTTCACATAACAACTCAAAAAAAATTACGTCTGCTAACCTGCCTACCCAGCGTGGCAACTGTGGCAAAATTCTTTCTAAAAGTCAATCTATAGAGGAGGAATCCTGAAATTCATCACTGGACTTTTATAGGATCTAATGAACGAATTATTTTTAAATCACAAAAAAAGTGTGTGCATGCTATTGCAAGTACATCGAGTATAGAAAGCTGTAAACCACAATTTAAAAAATTTAAGTTATTGACATTTCCCGCAATGTATATTAATGAAGTTGTGACATTTGTAAAAACTAATCCTGAAATATTTAATGATTACGTAATAACAAACAATCTACGTAAAAATAAAATTCATGCAAATTCAGTTTTTACTTAGAAAAAACGTTTTCGGTATGTTATCTAAAATCTATAATAAGGTTCCATCTATGTTTCATGAAATGGAAAATATTCATAAATTTAAAAAAAGAATTTAAAACATTTCTAATTGAGAAATGCTACTACTCAATCGATGAATATTTAAGTGACGCATAAGTAGGCATATTATAATGAATATAATTAGATATAAAATATAATTCAGTTGACATTCGATTAAACCATATATTATTGTAAATATCCCATTCTAATTAATTATTACACCATTGTTGTATTTTCTTATATAATTATAATATAAATAATAAAATGAAATAATTGTGGAAATGTAATATATTTAATTGTATCTAACTGTAATATTTGTATACCTAAGGCTTGAATGCAGCGAACATATTTATATAACATATATACATATTTATATAACATATATACATACAATATGTAACGTAATTAACGCACACCCTCAGACACCCCAATTAGTATATTATGTTATATAATCATAATACATTGATTTTTAGTTAAACATTTTTATGCACTGATTATTTATCAAATTAGTTATACTAATTACGGAAGAATGTTGTGGTCACAGTACAAATCCACGAACGCAAAGACTTTAACGTGCTTGAAATAAAGTTCATTTTTCTTTATTTTTATTTAATGACAGAATTAGTAATAATACAAATAAAACTGCACTCTTAAAAGTCTTATTGCCTTAAGTTACGGTCCATTTCAGTTTGTTTTGACTGTACAGATTTAGTATGACTGTAATTTACGTAGTTTTAATTATTTTTGGGATAAAAAATTACCTGTATTAAAAATGATAGGAATCGATTTCGATACTTAACAAACTACTTCCAGGATGTGCGTTAATTATGTTACATGTTGTATATAAGATCTATTCTGTCTCATTACCTGTATTCACATATAAATAAATTTTAATTTGAATGGACCCCCCCCCCCACCACCACCACCACATTAGGTTTTACACTTGTGTTTTAGAGACGTGTTACATAAAAAGGAGACAATCGTTTTTAGACCCAATAGAAATTGTAACGTAACTTAATATTTTTACACGTAAAAAAGATAACAATTTATTATAATTAGGGGCCTAAATTTTTTATGAAAATCTAAACAGAATCATTCATTCTGAAAAAAAAAGAGTTGTGGATATTTATGTTCTGGCTAATTTAATATGAAAAAAATGCGTGTAACGTAGAACGAACTACTAAAATAATTTTCCATCAATCTTAAAGTATCTCTAAATACCGAATGTATCTAACGCTTTGTTTTATACTATTAATTATTGACCAGTGCACTATTTTAATTTATAATAACGGTATAAAACTACTAGACAATCATCGCTTTTACTTTGTTTTTAGGTAATCAATTCGTTACCGAGGTATTTTACAAAACGTAAATTATTGATTATAACTACTTTTAAGGATTTTATCGCGATTTATTTATTTTATTTTTAAGAAAGATTCATTCTGCATAGATCGGACCAAAGACAATAATTAAAATATCGGAATGTCAGTCACCTCTGTCCCCCGTGACCATGGGTGCTGGAAAGCACCCGAAACGTCGGGTATTAAAAATCAAATAAATAAAACGCGATAAAATCCGTAAAAGTAGTTTTAATCAATGTATAGTGTGCGCGTAAATATAAGAAATCATTATGTAAAACTTAATTTATTAATTATTTTTCATTAGAGTGCCCATTACCCCTCAATATCCTGTAAGTTTTGTAACAGGCGACGGACAGAAACCTTTTGTCCCCCGGTCCAACGTAGTGGGCTCTTTTTTAAAAGGCCGAAAATACGTAACAGGGATATTTCTATGCTGTTACAGTTGTTCATGGGCGGCGATAGTCACTTCCTGTCCCATGTGAGCCGCATGCTCGTTGCCTACTATTTTTTTAAAAACCTGGATAAAGTAGCGCATTGACTCAAGTGGAGTCTCGAAATAAAACAGAAGATGAAAGACAGCATCTCCCATGACGACCCAGAATTAAAAAAAGGTGTACTTGCCCACTCTACTGCCGAGTGTGACAACTGTAGTAAATATCTCCCAATGAAATAATCTCTAGGGAATATATGTTTCCAGCGGTGGACTTTTGATTGACTGTAATGAATGAATGAATATATGAATGAATAAGTGAATGAATGATAAATACATAAACACTCACATCTGGCACCGAGAGGGCTAGGCAGAGACTAAAAACTTCCATTTGGCACGATCCTGACACACCTCTCTCGCCTCTTTCACATCCATATATCTACGCATACATGCTCGTTGGTTAAGGGTACTCCTAATTTGGTCCATTTTCAATGTATCGCCAATTTGATCGATAAACTTTCGCCTAGGGCGTCCCTTCCGACTCTTCCATTCACTTCTGCAACATAAATTTGCTTTGTCACTCTTTCCGCATTCATTCTTTCTACATAACCAAACCACCGAAGCATTCCTTTCTTAATCCTGGTCACAACATCATCTTGCATACCACACTCTTCTTTTATCACACAATTTCTCACCCTGTCACTCAGATTCAGCCCTGACATACTCCTTAGCGACCGCATTTCTACTGCATTTATTTTTCTCTCCTGCTTTTTCTGCCACACCCAACTTTCACTACCATAATTGAATGAATGAATGAATATTTTACTCACTATTGGCTTCATGTACAAGGAATTCCCATATTTCTCGGCGAGCCGCGCAAGAGTCGTACGACGTGATCCATGGGCGACCGCAAAACTTTTAATAACCTGCAAGTGAATATGAACAAAATTTTAAAAATATGACAAGCAATTTGGTAGTTTTATACTAGGTGGTTAGACTTTTCTTTTCTGTCTAGAACTTTGACCGGTACCACTTCGGTATCACAATCCGTCTTTCCTATTGCTGGTCTAAAGAGTATAGAAAGTATAATTTTTTTTATTTAAAATAAAGTTACCCCACACTACAATTTTCTTCTGCATAATGGAGGCAATTAAAAGTTAAAGTTACTGCCTATATACGTCCCACTGCTGAGCAACAGGCCTCCCCTGAGAGAGTTTTAGGGCATGGAAGTGTCCACTGCGCTTGCACGTGTTGGCGAACTTCACATGTCTTCGAAATATTTTTTTTATTTCTCAGACATGCAGGTTTCCTCACGATGTTTTCCTTCACCGTGCACGTGGTGAATCAGCACTTAAAATTGCAATTAACAATTTCATTGGCGCCGGCGGGGATCGAACCCGGTTTGCTCGCGTACTATGAAATTTACAACGAGCGCTAACTATCTGAGCTACCACGGCCCTTAGTTTTGGCAGTGGAGGCAGTTTACATACATAAATTTCATAGGGACAAAGATAAAGACATCGAACAATTATTAGTAGGCCATACAAATAAGAACTAGTTCAGTGAGGAATTCGTACCCGTGGCCCCCAGCGTCGCAACTCATTGCCAAGCCACCACCGTACGGATCCGTCCATTAATGACTGTGAGGCATTCCACCTTAGTCCTCAGAGGCCAACACATCTCTAGCTTTTTTTTTGAAGTTAATAACCCATGAGCTATAGTGGCCACTTACCATTAGGTGGACCGTAAGATATTTTGACACATATTTTATTAATAAAAGCTTAACTCTGACGGTATATTTTATTAATAAAATGTTCAACTTAACTCTGACGGTATATTTTATTAGAATTCAGCATTAAGTAAATTTTCTTTTTTTTCTGTTGACAGCCCATAAAGTTTCAATGTTGGTTATACGCATCTCCTGTTACAAAGATTTGTTTGACTGTCACAATAGGCAGGCACAGTTACGATCGCAACGACAGATCTTCTGTCCAGCTAACCGTCGCTGATCTGGGTATTGTACGCCTTTAGTAAACGAGATTCTCATATCGCCATCTATCGCAAGTCAGGATCACGAAAGGAATGCTTCGGTGGTTTGGACACATAAAGAATCAATGAGGAAAAAAGTTGGATAGACAAAATTAAGAATACCCTTAACATATAGATAAAGCCGTGGTAGCTCAAATGGTTAGCGCTCGTAGTAAATTTCACAGTACGCGAGCGAACGGAATTCGATCCCCGCCGGCACCAATTAAATTGTTAATTGCAATTTTAAGTACTGATTTACCACATGCTCGGCGGTGAAGGACAACATCGTGAGGAAACCTGCATGTCTGAGAAATAAGAAAAATAAATATTTCGAAGACATGCGAAAATCGCGCGGCGAACACTTCCTTGCCCTAAAAAGCCTCTCAGAAATGAGCGACAGCCCTGTGCCCAGGAGTGAACAAGCTGTAACTTTAACATATAAGCATGTATGCGTAGATATCCATTTATCTTTTTTATTGTCTTCGCCATTACGTAGTTCTTATACGTCGGTACATCCCGATGAGGAGGT